CCCCACCCTCCCCCCTGGCCTTGGGCTGGGAGGCTGGCAGGGGGTGGGAAGTTGCCTCCCTTTCCATGTGAACGCTGAGCCGGTCACGTGACTGGATTTGGCCTGTGAAACAAAGCCAAGAATGGAGCAAACAAAAGCTTGAGGCGTTCTTATCACAGGGAGGCTTCATCCTCCTGGCAGCCAGCCACCTCTCTTTGGAGAAGGCTGGGCCAGACCCCTGGATGAGGGGGCCGTGTTGAGAGACTGGAGCACCAGAGGCTGCCTGGGGCTCAGCCTCAACCCCTGGGGGCTCCTGGCTGAAGGCAGTTGTGTGACTGACCTCAGCGACACCACAGCGGGCCGAGGAACCGTCCGCACAAGCCCCATCAGAACACCAAGTCGTGGGACACATGAGATGGGCTTTTCCCTGTCCTAAGCCTCTACGTCTTGGGCTGATTTGTGATAGCAAAGATGGAAATAGTGGTTAGTACAGAAGTGGGGTGCTCCCATAACAAAGACCGAGGGGAGCAGCCCTGGCCTCGGGTGGCAGGCAGAGGCTGGAGGTTGGCAGGAGACGCTGGTGAAGCCGGAAGAGCAGTGAAGGGAGTGTTATTGGAAGCCGGCGAAAGGAGAGCCCGTGCTGTGAGTGACTGTCTTCGTGGCAACCTGGAAGTTAGAAACGGTATCTAACAAAATTGTGAATTTAGCTAAAGATATTTTGAGGTGGAATGCTGAAAGTGGCAATTGGCTTATTTTAGCTGCCTATGATAAGGCATTTCAGATGTGAGAAGAACTAAAAAGGAACTGTTCAATTTTCAAGCAGAACTTAGAGAAAATATTTCCAACTGGACTTGCTAGATTGGACAACAAAGTCCTTTTTCCTTCCTTACCCCTCTGTCTGACAAACATTCTCAAAGTAAGAAATCATCTCAGGGCAAAACTAATGCGCCATTAAGGCAGGACCTCAGAGTGAAGCAAAGAAAGAGCCCACGGTGAGACCCTGTTTTCAGGTCTAAAATTTAACACAATGTTCTGTGACTCCTCTCAACGGGACAAATGGCTTGTAAGAATCTTCAGAATCTGTCACCTGACGGGTGACCCAAAGGGGGTCTGTCTTGTTAGATGAAAAGGTACCTCTTGTCTAAAGGGGCCCACGACTTTTATGGACTTAGCAGGCCCGCCGAGTTTTAGAGAATTCTGACAGTGGGCGTTGCAGGAGTTTGGAGTAAAAGGGACAGAGACGCCTCAAAATGAAAACACATCTCTGGGCCCCCAACTTCTTTGGGCAGGAAATAGACTGGGAAAACTTCTCAGCTGCAAAAATATAGGAAAATCCCTATTTGGCAGGAAAGGAAAGAGACTTCAGGGGCTGGAGCCAAGGGCTGACAGGGTCCTTCAGGAGGCCTGGAAAGCGGGGCCCGGCTCTCAAAGGAGAGGGCATGTCACCCCGAGTGCAGAACGAGCCTCTAGCCAAGAGAATTCTAGAGTTTGAGAGCTGGGGTGGCCTAAAATACATGCCCTCCTGGACAGCAGAACTTTTGGGGGTCAGTGATTACTCTGTTTCCTCCTCCGAACCCGTTTTCACCTGAAGTACCCCTTGGGGTTATCCTGCCCCTCTGGCAGCCCGGTGATGTGTGGGAGGCAGGTAACCCACATTTTTAGACCAGGCAGTGATGGGCTGGTAAATACTTAACAGCTGGATTCCAGAGAAAAAAATCCTGATTTCTAGTGCTTGTCAGCTTCTGTGCTAAAAATTCTCCCACCAGGGCTGACTCGGGCCTGTGATGTGACGTCACTGATGTGGCGCTGGAAGCGCCCGGCCAGCTCCTTGCCAGGCTGCCAGTGACAGGCCCTGCCTTGGTTTCCCCTGATTCCCTGAGCGAGCTCGTTTATCTCTCTAGCAGGAACAGACTCAGATCTTTCTTTCACAGGATGGTGTAGGTGATAGCTTAAATTGGAATGAGAGCTTCAAGCTAAAATATTCAAATATAAAAGGTGGAATCCAGTTATAGTCATTTCCACTTCCAAACCCTGCCCGGGATCAGGCCCCTCCGACCTGGATGTCGTCTTCATTCACGCCTTTGCACGTCAGAGGAAAGTGCACTTTGCAGTCGGACACAACTGCCTGACCATCGTCCCTGGGAAGGACCTCGCCGTGCAAATGATCGCCACTTCGAGTCCCAGCTCCCGCATTCATAGATGGGAGTAACAAAGCAGACTCTGAGAGGAAAGTGTGTGGATGAAGTGAGACAGGTACACGGCATGCCTGTCGCCCTCATGACTGGTGCAATTTGCCAGGAACTGGGCTAAGGGTCAGTGACACAAAGGTGAAGGAAAGAGCCAAGCGGTTTTCGGTGTTCAAGGCCTGCAAGGGTCACGTCCCCCTGCTCTCCGTGGGTGCGTCCACCCCAAGTTCTGGCTCGACTCCAAATGCAGCCTATTTGTTCAGACTTCTCGCGTCTTCCTCCTTCTAGGGTATTACTTACTCTTTTTTTTTAAAAGATGTATTTATTTATGCAAACAGAACTGGGGTACAGGCCAGAGGTACGGGGGTGAGAGGATTCCCCAGAGACAGTGGGGGGCAGAGCAGGCAGATCCACTGAAACACACTGCTGGGGGAGCAGCGGGGAGACAGGAGGGGCTGCCGCGCCCTGGGGGTCCCTGCCCGGCCAGGGATTGGCTCGTGCTGTGGTGGCTGTGGTGGCTGTGGTAGCTTCATAGTGCTTGCTGTGCTTTAACCCGAGGCGCCACCAGGGAGGGCCCCATTTACTCTTTTTTACCCACTGAAATCAAACTTACCCTGTACTGCCAGGGTGCTGGCTCTCTTCTGAACGAGCTCCCCATCTCGTCTCGCCAGGGGCTAAGAGGTCACTCCTGGCCAGCACGCTCTCCAGCGGAACACGTCCATCCCGCTTCCTCTCCCAAGTGTTTTACTTCAAGCAGCCGCGAGCAGGAGCCTCGCACTGGCTGCTCCCTCCCACCGTCGCGCTCTGGACACACCCGGCTAGCTCATGTAATCCCCCCACGCCCTGTCATTAACCCATCTACAATGGGAAGACGTACTAGCGACGACCCAGGTCATACAAGCAGCCGGAAGTGGCCGAACAAAGATCTGAGCCCTGGATGTGCAGCTCTCGGCTTTGCGTCTTTAACTGTAAGAGAAGCTAGAACTGGGTCTCACCCATCATGGCAGAGGCTGGACTGGGGTCAAGCTGACCCATAGCCAGGACTGGTTGTTAACTCAACCAGTGTTTTAGAGCATTTGCCTGCTCCTGAGCGGCAGAGCGGTGTCAAGATCACAGACTCTGAGCCCCGCGGTCTGGCTCTAGTTTTACAAATCACGCGACTTCCAGCAAGCTGCTCAGCCTCTCTGTGGCTCAGATTCCTCACCTCTGAAATGGGGGTGCAGGCGTCTGCTGGGCGGTTGTTCTGAGCACCTCAGGAAGGGGCCCCAGCACAGACAGCATTAGCCAAGCGTCCACCGGACGCGGGTCTCTGCTGGCAGCATAGGGCAGTGAGGACTGCTGACCTCAGGAGGTGACATTTTATAGAGACCCAGGGGACACCTAGGGACAGGCAGTTCCACACAGAGTTGAGGTTTGGAAATGAGGGTGTGGGGCCACCAGAGAGCGACACCTCCTTCTCAGGACATGGGGGCTCAGCCCTCCAGGATGGGAAGCTGCTGGGGCCTGAAGGGAGAGCGGAGCGCGCTCATGGGGGTAAAGGGTCAGCAAAGGGAAGGCTTGGAGATCCAAGAAACAGCTTGCAAGGGCCCTCCCTGGTGGCGCCTCGGGTTAGAGCGCAGCACCTCGAGACTGGCCGCAGCTGCTTCAGCTCGATCCCGGCCAGGGAGGGACCCCCGGGCGGGCGCAGCAGACCCCGCCTGTCTCCCCGCTGCCCCCTCAGCCGTGGACTTATTTCGTCCATCTGCCTGTTCTGCTCCGCACTCTGTCTCTTTGAATCCTCTCACCCCACCCTCCTGTACCTCTGGCCTGTACCCCAGTTCTTCAAGCATAAATAAATAATTCTTTTGGTAGAAAGAGTTTGCAAGAAGCGCAGAGGCTAGAAAGATCCCTTCGTGTTCTGTTCCAAGGGTCTCGTTGCTGAAGTCTGTCTTCTCCGTGGCTCCCTGCGACATTCTTCAGTTCCTCGCTCCTCTACCCCTTGCTGAGTCCTGACCTGCGCCTGCTATGTTTGCTGCGGGGCCTGAGGTGCAAGGCAAGAGGGGTGGGGGAGGGTGAGAACTGCCGTCCTGCTGTTTTCTTCCCCCTTTCCCCCAGGTGAGGCATCTGGGGGAATGGAGGAAGAGGGCTGGGCGCCTGGGGCCGAAGAAAGGATGGACGCTTTGGCTGGCCGCCTCTGGCTGGGTGCAGGAAGTGGGTGGGCTCACAGCAGCGTGAAGAAGTTTACGGGGCCTGGGGCGTGGGGGTGGGTGGGCAGGCAGATTTAAAAGTGGGGAAGCCTCTGCATTTCTCTGGAGGCCATTGGTTAGTCTGAGCTACCAGAGGGAGCCTGGGGCTGGGAATCTGGGAGAGGAGATCGTGGGTCCTGCGTGCGGGCACCAGAGTTTGGGATGGTTTGGCAAGAGGAGTCAGGGGTTGGCTGGGGGCAGCTTCCTGCCCCGAGAGGTCTGCTTTCAGGATTTGAGGTTTGGAGGAAAAGCGACAGACCGGGAACCCACCTGTCTCAGCAAAGCTGATGATCTCATATTCCTGGCCCCTGTCAGTCTCCCAAGAGGCCCCCCGGGGGGTCGCCCGCAGGCGCTGCAGCACAGTCCTCAGGGCCGTCCTGGACACCCTCGGGCTCAGATGTGGGCGCTGGCTGAGATGCAGCTTGTCCAGGATGCTTCTCTTGGCCAGGTGCAGGAGCAGCTCCCGCTGACTCTCCAGGTCCACGGTGGGGCTCCCGCACGCTGGACACTGGCCGTCAGCTCGGGGAGTGGCCAGGGGGGCCAGAGCCAGGCAGAGAAGGGCCAGGTGCGGTGAGGCGTGCATGTTGGGGCCTGGGAGCAGCGCGGTGAGGCGACCTGCACACCAGGCTCAGGGGCTCACGCTGCCGTCCTGCTGGGCTGGCCCGCAGGGGCCCTGGCGGGAAGGAGGGTGTGTGTGTCCAGCTGGCATGGCTCCTTCCCTGAGGGGACGGGGCAGCCAAAATCTGACTGAGGAGATGGAGCCAGTTACAGGTAGGACTTGGCAGAAGCCTCCAGCGCCGCAGGCTGGAGCCGTGTCAGTGAAAGTGCAGGTGGGGGAGGTGGTTTGTTTGGAGAGAGAAACGTTGGGAGCCTCTGTGACCCCGTGAGTTGTCCCGGCCTGGGGACAAAGGTTAGTCGTGAAATTCCTCCTCTGATCAATGCCCTTGCTGGGAAGCGCGGCTGAGAGGGAGACCAGAGGGTGGTACAGGACGGCCCAAGCAGGTGGGCGGCCGCCTAGGTGGCTGTGGGCAGGTGGCAGGTGGCTGCGAGGGCTCCTTGCCCACCCGACGGCTCCACGCCCACCGCCGAAGGGGTGCTTGCTCCCTCTTTACCGTCTCTGCAGCTTGGGGACAACATTCTGAGACCTGTCAAAAACCCTGGGCCTTTCTCCCCAAAGAGCCTGAGTCGATCTCCTGGGAAAGGTCTGGAGAGCCACAGCGACGGGTTTGCCTGGCGGGATTGTGCATGGGATGTGGAACCCAAGTTGCCGGCCACATCACCTGGGTTCAAGTTCTGTCTCTTCGGGGCGCAGCGGGCCCCCCGCCCCCGCATGCCCCTGCTCCCCTCAGCAGGGTACTCGTCCATCTGCCTGTTCTGCTCCCCGCTCTGTCTCTGCTGAGAACTCTCACCCCCACACCTCTGGCCTGCACCCCAGTTCTTGTGTGCATAAATAAATAAATTTTTAACAAAAACAAAAAAAGTTCCACGTCTTCATTTTATTGGCTGTGTGATTCTGGGTGAGTTACCCGAATTTGAATGACTACTTATGATTTCCAAATCCAAAAGCCCTGTATTCCAAACATTTTTTGGTGACATGTGATGACCAGACCTAACCTGAACAGAAGTGAGATTATTTCTGGTCTTTTTTTTTTAACCTCACTGAGACTATACGTTTTCATTCCAGAAATGGTAATTCTTATGAGCTGCTGTCCCCGGAGGTGCTCATACCATTTGACTTTTCTACAACTTGAAATTTTCTGAATTCTGAAACATGTCTCACCCAATGGATTTTGACTATGGGATTATAGATCTATGAAGATAATTAAAAAAAAAGATTTCTTTATTTATGCACACAGAACTGGGGTACAGGCCAGAGGAGCAGGGGCGGCGAGAGAGTTCACAGAGTGGGGAGCAGAACAGGCAGATCCACGAAGTCCACTGCTGAGGGGAGCAGCGGGCGGGTCAGGAGAGGTCTGCCGCGCCCTGTGGGTCACCTCCAGGGCAGGCATTGAACTCGTGCTGAAGTGGCTTTAGCTTCTTGGTGCAGCGCTTTAACCTGCTGCGCCACCAGGGAGGGCCTCGAGTTGATTTTTGTGTGTCAAATTTCTTAGCTCTTTTTCACTGATCTTTTTTTTTTTTTTTTAGAAGCCTGTGATAGAGGTCAGTTTATTATTAATTTCTAGTATAAACTTATTTCAAAATATGAACTTTGAGATGTAATTCACATAGAAGTCACCCTTGTAGCGTGCACAACTGAGTGACTTTCAGGACATTCACCAGGTTGTGCCATGACCACCACCGAGAACATTTTCATCACCCCAGAAAGAAATCCCGTGCTTCTAAGCTATCCCTCTCTGCTTTCCTCCCGGGCCACAGGGGCTGACCTTTACCATTTAATATTCCTAAACTCACTCTTGGATGTGTGCAAATAAATGTACGGAAACCTTGTTTGAGTGGGGTCGGGAGGCTAAAGACAGCGCCCACGCACGCCAGCGGGTAAGCGCAGCGGAAGGTGCATCTCCAGCACCGGACCCCAGGTTGTGTCCCGCTGAAGGAAGGAGGCCTCATTACTTAGCAGCCCCCCAGAGGCCAGGCCGAAGGAAATCAAGGGGAGGGACATTGAGTCTTGCTGAGTCTGCACTCACCAAATTGTTTTTGATGCCGTTGTTTCTGAATAAATCCATTTTGTCGGCGAAGTAACTGATTTTTGTTTGATGTCATTATATAGCTTATTATTTTTTAGTTCAGGGGAAGATAGTTAACACTGATATTTGTTTCAATTTTTGACTGAAGTAAGCAGTTCCCAGCCCCCTCAAATCCTAGCAAGGCCAACTGCTCCCTTCTCTCCGGCAATGGGTTGGGGAGCAGAGAGGGGGCAAGCAGAGAAGGCCTCCTGGGAGGGTGGACATGCCAATGTCCTGCCTTCATTCTTCTTCAGCCGCCGCCCTTGTTTCAAAAAGACCCAGCCGTTGTCCCGTGTGCGACGTCTCTCAGACTTGCCCTTTCCAGCTAATTGCCAGTAGTGCGCAGTTAGGAGAAGACTCTGAGGGCAACTCAGGCCAACTCCTGGGACTTTGGTCCTCAAGCTTCCTTACTATGAAGTGAATATCCTGACAGTAAATGCTGTGCTGAGGGTTGAACAGCAGTAACAGGTGGACGATGCTACATATTTGGTATTAAACATGTGTAACGCAAATGTTAGCTGTTATTTCCTCCTGGTCATCACTTCCCCGTCAGTTGCCTGCAACTTGAAACCCTGGAAAAGTTGATCCTCGAAGGAAAGAATTTCACACCTCTATGACTTTGCTGAAGTCTTCATTCTTACTTCTTTATTATTATTATTTTATTTATTTATGCATACAAGAGCTGGGGCCAGAGGTGTGGGGTGGGAGGTGAGAGGCTTCCTCAGAGACAGTGTGGGGAGCAGAACAGGCAGAACTCCACTGCTGAAGGGAGCAGCAGGGAGACAGGAGGGGTCTGCTGTGCCCTGGGGGTCCCTCCCTGGGGTGATCTGATCTAACTCGGTGCTGCAGTGGCTGCTGAGAGCTTCATAATGCACCAGTTGTGCCACCAGGGAGGCCCTCCATTCTCACTTCTTGAGTGAACTCTTTTCTATATTCTTCAAGAATAGTTGAAATTTCACCTGTAGATCCTCTGTAGTTTATCCACTGAGCGCCTGATATAGTATATTGTGCTATGTAATTATTTGGCCTTTTTTCCTGGAACAGCTCACCAGCCAGACCCCTGTGTTCTCCAAAGCCAGCTGCAGCAGGAGAGCCTTGGTATGAGGAGAAATGAAAAGACTGCAGTCCACATGGAGCCATCTCAAGTGGAATCCTGGAGAAAGGTTTAGTGGTGGGAGAAATAGAGAAAGATAAATGAAGAAAGAAACCTTCTCAGCTATTGGAAACTCAAGTTTTGGGATGCAGGAACACATTGATTTGGGGATCAATTATGACCCAAGCTTTGGCATCTACTGCCTGGACCTGTGCGTGGCGTTGGTTAGGCAAGTTTCTGCATCTCAGACAAGCAGCACAGGACAGAACAGTGGGGCCATGCACAGAATCTCGACAGGAGATCTCGTGCTACTCCTGCAGATGATGCTGAGGCCACCTTTCCTGGCAAAACCCCCCTGTTCCCCAAAGACTATCATAAGCGTTCACTGAAATGTACTGTCTGTACATACATAGTGCACGTGTGCCCTGTGTCTGACAGCGGGATGCTGGCAGGCAGTGACTTGGAGCTGAGTTTGGACTAAATTCCGCCTAGGCTTTTACTCTGGAGGAAAAAATGGACCTACCATGTGATCGTTATCCAATTTAAGCTACACATGTTGCATAGATGTCTTCTGGGCTCAGGACCCCCTGTCCGGAGGGAAAGGTTACTTGCAAGGGCTCTGTCAACTTGTTCCTCTCTGGTAATCGGTTCCTAGACACGGTTCAAATTAGAGGAACCGGACACGCTTGGTGGGTTGAGGGGAAAGTGGACTGGTGGTTTGAGACAAGAGTGAGGCAGATGAGCGTGTGTGCGTGTGTCAGTGCAAGTGTGCTCGTGCGTGCCAGCATGCACATGCCTGTGTGTGCCAGCATTGCGTGTACTTGTGCCAGTGCCCGTGTGAGTGTGCCTGCCAGTGTGCCCGTGTGAGTGTGCCTGTCAGTGTGCCTGTGTGAATGTGCCTGTCAGTGTGCCCGTGTGAGTGTGCCGGTCAGTGTGCCCGTGTGAGTGTGCCTGCCAGCGTGCCTGTGTGAGCGTGCCTGCCAGCGTGCCCGTGTGAGCGTGCCTGTGAGTGTGCCTGTCAGCGTGCCCGTATGAATGTGCCTCTCAGTGTGCCTGTCAGCATGCCCATGTGAATGTACCTGTCAGCATGCCTGTGTGAGTGTGCCTGTGAATGTGCCTGCCAGCGTGCCTGTGTGAGTGTGCCTGTCAGTGTGCCCGTTAGCATGCCCGTGTGAGCGTGCCTGTTAGCGTGCCCATGTGAATGTAACTGTCAGCATGCCTGTGTGAGCATGCCTG